GACCGTCGCATGGATCACAGTGGCCAGGTCTTCTCGGCCGAGATAGGGAACCAACTGCCTGGCCAGCCGCAGATGATAAAAGGCTGACTTGGCGGTGGCTGCCACCTGGGCCTCCATCGTTAGAGGAGTCCAGGAGCACACCCAAACTCCTAACCTCCCGCGTAGGCACCAATGGTGTCCCGCCAAAGGTCGGGAGAGGGTGTCCCAACTCCCGGCCGATCCGACCCAGGCCCAGGACCTCCGTCTTTGCCGGGTTTAGTTTCAACCGACTCAGCTTGAGCCACCCAGCCACGGCTTGCAATGCCCGCGAAAGGTCATCGGGACCAGAGTCCGACTGGCCGTCCAACATCAGATAGAGCTGGGTGTCATCCGCATATTGATGACACCCAAGCCCACACCTCCGGGCTATCTGGGCGAGGGGGCGCATGTAGATGTTAAACAACATCGGGGACAGCACAGCCCCCTGAGGCACTCCACATTCAAGGGAGCGCCTCCGGGACCGGTGCCATCCTTTGTCCCCGACACTTTATTTGTACTGAGATCGGTTTTAAATTGTATAGTATGTTTTTAAATGTATAGGATGTTTTATTGTTGCAAGATTTCTTGCCCTGTAAGCCGCCCTGAGCCCTACGGGGGAGGGCGGGGTATAAATTTGATTAATAAATAAATAAATAAATTTATTGAGCACAAATGTATGTATAAATGAGCCTTGAACTAGAATGAATCTGAAGCTTTTACTGGCTTCATCCCATGGCTGAATTGTATATAAATGGGGACAGGCATTGGCAACATAAAGACAAGTTGATGAAGCAGATGATGGCAGGAAGTTAGAAACTGCTGTAATATGAGGGTAAATGTAACCTCACCTTCCCAGTTCCATGTATATACGGGGTTCTGAGTCATATTCTGTTGGGAATAATGGACAACATGGAAATTTCCCCTGGTTTGATCACAACTTAGAGGAGCAGTGGGGCAGATCCAAGAGACGTGGATCTTTGGCAGAGATGTAGTGTAGTGGTATGGTGTAGTGGTTAAGAGCCCCTAACCTAGAGAGCCAGATTTGATTCTACTTCTCCACATGAAGCCTGCTGGGTGACCTTGGGCCAGTCTCTCAGAACTCTCTCAGCTCCACTTACCTTACAAGGTGCCTGTTGTGGGGGGAGGAAGAGAAGGACATTATACGCCGCTTTGGAATTCCTTAATGTAGAGAACAGTGGGGCATACGAGCCAACTCTTCTTTGTTTAAGGCTTTACTCTGCATGGCACAGTAGATTTTAGTCTCATAGGCTGGGTATTAACTTGCAGTGAAGCTGCTAACTGGTGTGGCTGGAATCATGGTTAGGGGTTGTGGGGTCCCTCCCCACCTGAACCATGGTGTTCTTTAGGAAAACAGCGCTAATTCCTTTACCGTAGCATAAAATGAATTACCGTTCCTGAAAAAGCTTTTTATTTCATTCTAGGCATTTTGAGCAGATGAAAGATGATAGCATTGTATGTAACATTGGGCACTTTGATGTGGAAATTGACGTGAAGTGGCTCAATGAGAATGCAGTGGAGACCGTGAACATTAAACCTCAGGTGAGTCATCTTGGACTGAGATCTTTTGTTCTAAGCATCAAGCACTTGGTTATTGGGAGGACCAAGTCATAGAAGAGGGTGCCTGACCACCGTCAGAGTTGAAGGGGCGGGACTTTCACGCAGTCTGTTTCCGTGGGCGTTGCAGAGGGGTGTCTTGCACCTTCTCCTCCTCTGATCAAGGGATGGGGTACAGAGAAGGGTGGGGCACCATGTGTCCTGTTCGAGCTGCAGGTGTCCAAAGGTGTGTGTAAGCCTGTGTGATTGGGAATGGGCATGGCCACATAAAGGCTGGTACAGGATAGCGAAGTGGCCCTTTCTCCCCATACCTATCCCCTGGATGGTAGAAGGAGTGCAGTGCACACCTGTACAAAGTCAGGCTCATAAAATTAGTCTCCTCCTTCAGATCAGAAGGTGGCTACCATAGGAGGGAGTAGATTCAGGTAGTTAGCTGTGTTGGTCTGAAGCAGCAGAACAAAATTTTGAGTCCAGTGACACCTTTAAGACCAACAAAGTTTTATTCAAGGTATAAGCTTTCATGTTCAAGCACACTTCTTCAGATATTGTGAAACAGAATTTTCTCAACCATTACATATAGGTAGAGAGAGGTGGTGGGGTTAGTTGCCAGGAAGGGCTAGTTAGTGTCAAGATGCATAAGTAACTAGCTGATTATAGCTGAGATTGGATTAAGGTGGTTGATAAGATCTGTGAATGGCAGTAAATACAAGAGTTAACAAACAGCTATGAGGATGAAGTGTGAGTCCAGTGGCATCTCCAAGATTACAAAGTTCAATTCTGGGTAGAAGAAGAAGAAGAGATTGGATTTATACCCTGCCCTTCACTACCCAAAGGTGTCTCAGAACGACTTACAAACTCCTTTCCCTTCCCCTCCCCACAACAGACACCCTGTGAGGTAGGTGGGGCTGAGAGCGCTCTGACAGAAACTGCTCTTTTTTCCAGAACAGCTGTGCCAGAATTATGGCTTGCCCAAGGTCATCCAGCCAGGTGCAAGTGGAGGAGGGGAGAATCAAACCCAGTTCTCCCAGATTAGAGTCCGCGCACTTAACCACTACACCAAACGAGTATAAGCGAGAACTGAGATGTAGCATGCGTAGAATAGTAAAAAAATAGTATTTATAATTCTGGAGAGGAGTTACAGTAACTAATTCATCTTTGGAGAAGTAAGTGATAATAGAAACAACTCTCTCCAGAATTTCACACAAGCAGATCCCTGGATAAATAATCATTTCGTTTACAGAAAAATGAATGGAATATATTTAGGATATTCCCATTCATTTCTTGTACAACTGCATGCCTGCAGACCTATTGAAAGAGGCACCAACTGCCTTTTTCAGTTGTTGAAGCTCCAGGAGCTGAGCACATACATGCCACCTTTCTCCACAGGGCCACTAACTTAGCTGTTAACAGTTTCTGTAGAAACGCAACCGCTGACTTTTTCCTTGAAATTCCATCTTCCTGATTTTGTGTTAGAAATTGTTGCAGTTCTCATTCCTGGCAGAAGTATCTCAACTCTCCTTCTTTTTGGGGAAGGTGTTGCTGTCAGAAACCTGGATTCCCAGCTGGAAAGACCAATTGTCTGACCAGATGGGAGCCACCCCTATTTCTGTAACTGAAAGAAAGTGCTGGTGCTTGTTGGCTTTTCAGGCGGGTGGAAATATAAACCATCAAAGCCTCTATTTATTGCTCCTGGCACAGACTAAAGCACTAAACGGTGCAGATCAAGCCCTGTGGCAGCATAGCGAAAAGTGTTAATCCCCACACCTTCGGTTAAATGGTCTCAGCCCTTGGCAGTTTAGGCATTGGCCTAACTTATTCACCTGGGGGGATGGGGGACAGAAGCCTGTTGAGAACGCTTGCCTGGCTTGTATTATTGTCAGTCTGAAACCAGCCTGCCCAACAATTATGTTTTATTGCAGCTGTTCTTGGTTGTCTTGCTTTTTTTTTTTTTTAGCACATTCATGGTCATGGTTACTCTATCCTGTAATGGCAAAAGCCTTGGGTTTTTTATGGGGTGAGCCTGCATTTCCACCTTGTCCCTTCCTGATGTGCAACAGCTACTGGTTTCTATTTGCTTGTAGGTGGCTGCTGCAAGCCTGGAGTCTCTCAGAGACACCCTGTCATAGTTTGTTGAGGGGAATGTGTGGGATTTCCCCCCCAAGGCAAAAAAGTGCTAACCAGTTTTGAAACATTCCAGGTGCAGGGACCGTGGTAAAGATAAAAGCCTGCCAGAAACAGCTCTACCCCCTTCATGCAGCCTGATATTAAAAACTGCCCTGCCACTTTTAAAACCCTGATGTTCAGTGTCAGTAATCAAGATTCATCAGTGTAGCAGTATCTGAGTGGAGCCAGGACCATAAAATTCCTAAGAAATGACTATACTCTGATGGAATCAGGCTTTTGAATTTCCCCCATATTCACTTAAAAATGTTTTAAAACTGCTTTTCATGGTAGCAAGTTGTCCGGTGACTGCTGCTGAGCCTGGCCCCAATGAGTTCCTCTCTCCGGAGTAGGAGGGAGGGGAAGCCGATTTGGGAGGCCAAAATAGTCCTGGAAAAGGGCCCTGTCCACTTCCCTTTGCCTTTTACTGATAGAAACCAAGGTTTGAAGGATGGCAAGATTGTTCTGGTTGCCATACAGCCACATGGCCACTGAGATCTGAGTGTACCCATTTCTTAAAGGTACAGGCTCTGCTTCTATTATTTGGGAGGTTAACCCCTGCTCTATTTATGTAGATAGATTCATTTAGATTGAGCTTGCAGAATTTTCTGAAAATCTAGGGGCTTTTCTCAGATTTGTAGATAGATCTGTCTTGTTTGTTTATTGCTCCAGTCTCTGGATTTATGTATTCGCAGATGGAGCCATGTTGACCATTAGGCATATTGATGTAGTAAAGACCGGTATAGACAGTGCAATAAAACTGGATTATACTGTCACAAAACAGCCTTGCTGACCTGTGAGCTCCATTCTGCTTTGGCTGTATGAGGTATCTAGGTTCTCAGCAACTGTCTCGAGTCTCTGCTCAGTGATGTGTTTCTCTCCTGAGTCCACCCAACTCTGCTTCTCTCTGATATTTCTGCTACCACCTGCTGGTTGGTTAGGGTATTGCCTGCTAAGAGGGTCAGAACTAGAGATGTAAAATTTCCGGAAATTTTGAAGCTCGGAAAACCCCCCGTTTTTTTCTGGAAAAAAACGGAAATTTTTGGAAAAATGGAAAAAAATGCTACATTAGCATTTATTTTGTCTTTTCTAGTTTGAAAGTCATTCTGTTACTTTAGGAACATAAAATATGACTATGGACATTTTTACTTGGCATGAAATTATCACAACTAGCATATTAAAAATATAGTGTATCCAAACAATTATTACAGAATACCCACCCACATGCAAAACCAAAACTGAAACTTTTTTATTTTCTTCTGACAATCGCACCTCCTAAAGGAAGAAATGCATCTTGTTCTTGCATTGGAGAGTTCAGTTTGTAACCTAGGACTTGCTTGTCCTCAGTGCACAGAAATTACATCAATCTGATACCATATATATATATTTTAGAAATGATTTGGAAAATATTTGAATACCTGGTCTTAAAATATTTTATTCATCATGTTAAAATAAAACGTTCCATAATCAATTTTTTTTCTTTTCTCTTTTCAATTTTTCCATTTTTTCCGGGGGTTTTCCGGGCCTTCACATCTCTAGTCAGTACCCCATCAGTGATACCATTTAAAGGTTCCTCCCAGGATGTGAGATGGCCCTTAGATTGTTCTTTGCTAGCTGGTAACAGTCCCATATCCAAGCCTTAAGTACTGGGTGCTTGGGGGACATCAATGTAATGGGGCTCCTTGAGTGCTACTGATTTCTTTGATGTTGTTCTTATCTCAACAGTATCAATAAAAAGAAAGAAGGGGTTTGGTAGACCCAAAATGTAGACACATTTCTCCATATACACAGTTAGAGAAACATTAAATACAAAACTAGATTACAAAATCAAAGAGCAATGAAGTAAAGGTGGTATGATGTAACTGATAAACAATGCAATATAAAAGGGAGAAGAAAAAGAAAACAGCCCAGATTTTCAGAGGGAAGTAACTACAACCCTATTCCTTTCTGAGAAGACAACTCACTGGAAAAGACTGTAATGCTAGGAAAAGTTGAAGACAGCAACTGAGCAAGGCTGTTGAAGTCAGCAACCTAAGCAAGGCTGTTAAAATAGGACGTTTTGGCGGTCATGAACCCATAGGGTCGCCATAAGTTAGAAGTGACTTGACACCATTTAACACACACACTCTCTCTGTTCCCTTCTACTGTTCCAAATGCTGGGGGGGAAATTTTCACAGCTCTGCATCTGCACTTGTCCAATGTTTATCTTGTGCCTTTCAATCTGCTGTATTAATCTGAGCAGCATAATAAAGATGATATTTGAGGTACCCGTGCATCACTTGCCTTTTGCCCATTGAAGCTTTTATCCTCTATCTGCCTTCTTTCCATATAAATCTTTTTGCTACATCTCTAATAAAGCAAGTGATCCATGGGATGAGCTGGAAAAGAAGAGCCATCAGAAGAGAAGCAGAACACTTAACGGTTCCAGTGACGTTCATTCTAGCCAGGAAAACTCCCTATTTACTCTTACTTAACACGCTTCAACTGCAGTACATGGGTTGCTTCCTCACAAGGGTTTTGCTTTGGTTTGGCATGCAAGCTAGAGTGTTTTCTAAGTGTTTACATGTTGTTGTCCACCTTTCAGGTTTTCCTGTGCTTTGCTTCATTCTTCCCCAAATCTGTTTTGCTCAAATCTTTCTTGAAACATTGCCGTGAAAGCAGGATTGCACACTGTGTGGATGGGGAAGGTGCATATGTTCAAACTCCCTGCCTATACTGATGCCATTTTATTGTTGTCATCCACTCACACCCTCCATTCCCCTCCCCAGATTTTTTTTTTAAATTGGCAGTTACTACAGCACTATAATGTTATAATGCTATAGCTGTATAGCAGCTACCAGTATTTTTTTTTTGTAAAGCCCTCTGGGAGGGATGGGAAATGGGAGTGTGAATAGTGAAGAAATGGGAGAGATCAAGGGTGTTGACTGAGGAAAGCACAGAGAATATCCTTGTGTGGATGCTTCATTGCCATGTGTTCAGTTTGATGGCAGTGGCAATTCGTGCAAGGCATCCATAAGTGGTTGTAACATATGTACATGAAGTGGGAGAAGGATTCTGTAAGTCAACACCAGCATACTGTTTCTTGGCTAGGTTCAGTCTGGAAACCAGATCTTTAAGCACTGGAGTAATCTGGTCAGGTGATGACTTAGTGAGTAGTTTGGCCCCTTTTGAACCGGTTACAATTTCTGAAAACTATTTGAAGGCAGATCCTTGTAAAGTATAGTCCCAGTAATTTAACTGGAAAATTACTAAAGAATGGGTATATTGCAGCATGGTCTGCTTTTCTCAAAGGGAGTACTGATGATGCACCAACAAAAATTGATGAAAGATAATTTGGGCCACAGATGGCATCCAGCTGCAAAGCCAAAGTGGATCCATAACATTTATAGCCTCAAGTATCCTTGGGGGGCGGGGGCGCTACAAATCCCTTTGCTGCATATTGCTGTTATTCATCTTTTCTATTGGCTGATTCAGGTGAATAGCTTGGGCCCTGTGACTCTGTCCTCAATGTAAATACAAGGGGGTGTAGTGAATTATTTGAAAGCCGTTTTTGTTTCCAGAGGCTGAATAGAAAGTAAAACTCTTCTGGATCAAATTTTCCCCATTAATCTGCTAAACCTGTCTGCTCAGTTTCAAGGATTTAATTTGCTTTTGTCATTTGTGTTGTGTGCCTTTTTTCTTTTTTGTGGTTCATCTGGTCTGCTGGGATCTATTACTGCTTTCCAACCTCCTGCTAAGATTACATCTACTTTTTCCATCTCTGAACACATCTAGCTGAGCAAGCAACAATGTAAAGAATTCCCCACAGCACCTGCTTTAGTGCTTATATAGATCCCTAGGGACAGATTTGTTGTTTAGTTTATCTTTAATCAGAGTTTCTGGACTTTTACCAGTACTTGAAAAAAAAACCACACCTCTTTCTAGTGCAAAATTGTCATGAGAGTAACAGCAATTGCACTCACTTCCTAAGGGATGTATGTGGCTGACCAAACCATTTGTATTAGGTGATTACCTTAGTGTCATCTATAAAATGTAGTGGTGGAAAGTGCCATCAAGTCACAGCTGACTTATGGTGACTCCGTACAGTTTTCCAAGGCAAGAACTGAGGGGACTCACACAGCTTCTTACGATTTTGGGGGACCAGGTTTGTTTAAAACTGTAATCCTTTATCTCAGTTACAAGATGTTATTGGGGTAGTAAGTGTAAAGTCTTTGGATTCCTTGCTATGAGATACGTTTTGTGGTGAGCAAGAAGAACACAGAGATCACTGAGGCAGGAGCAGCATGTGAATAACAAAGAAGATTTATGTATCTACAGGTTGTTTATAAAGAACAGTCCAGCACAGGTCTTCAGACAGTCAAAGGAAAAACCTGGCTGAGGCACATAAATTTCAAGCTAGTTATGGCTTCAGAATGTGGCTTAAATTCTCTTTAATGCTTGCAGGTACACACAGGATTTTACTGGCTAGCCACTAGGTTGGATCCTTTCAGGCACACAGGATTCCACCTACACCAGCCTGCCCTTTCTCAGTTGTCAGACAAAATTGGTACAAGGTCTCTTGTTACCAGAAATAGGCCTAACAATTGGGTACTTTGTCCTCCCTCAGAGGTATTGTTAAGCCACTCTGCTAGGCTACCACACAGAGCTGCCCTTCAGTCTGCCTGCTCTTTTGCTGAGGCAGTCCCAAACTACGAGTGTGCTCTCCTCGAGGCATATCTGAAGTAACTTCCCTACAACATTACATCCCACCTCAGAAAGGTGTTTGGATGCTGGAGCTGCATTTCCATAGCCTCAGGGATGAAACAGCTGAGTAGCTGTTATTCCCTCAGGAGAAGGACAGCCTCCTTTCTGTCACAGTACTTTCCATAGCCTCAGGGATGAAACAGCTGAATAGCTGTTATTCCCTCAGGGGCAGGACAGGCTCCTGTCTGTCACAGTATGGGACTATGTACCATTTGCCTTGTTCAGAGATAATTTCTGGGACACTTCTGAAGTAAAGGTAACATCTAGAATGATTTTCCAGGTTCTGCCTCATGAGAGCCCCGTTTAGCAGCTGAACTTTTTTTTTTTGGCAAGTGACCACTTGTATCATAAAACTTACCTGGTTTTGCTCTAGTCTCTCAATTTTGAGGATGAAGCTTCTGTTAAAATTGCACTTGTCTTGAACTGAGATGTATTGAGAATTCTGTTCTTACGTTTGAGGAACTATGTACCATATGGCTTTTCTCCACACTTGGGCTTTGGTGCCATATGGCAGGCCTCCTACTTGGTCTTGTACTGTGGTTTCCCATCAATATATCTAGTTCTCAACATGGCCTTATCTGTGGATATCAATTCAAAAATTGGGGCCATGAACAGATAAGACAGGTCTTTCTGCAAACCTGAAAAAGCCCCAGGTTTTAAAGAAAAATGTAAAAAAAAAAAAAAAAGCCCATGGTGGGTTAACCCCTGCAAAAATAAAAGAAGCTGAGCACGTAGCTTTAAGAAACAAATACCATCTCAGTGGCAATCGCTAGGCTATCACAACAGTATTGCCAGCCTTCAAACCTTGTTTCTGTCAATAAAAAATGGGAAGAAGAGTCACTCTGTGTGTGTCTCTCTGTGTGCATACACACCAATATGGCATAGTGGTTAGAGTGTTAGACTATGTTCTGGGTGACTCTGACCGAACTTACTTCACAGTTTTGTTGTGAGAGTATAATTGAAGAAAGGGCAATTATGTGTTCTCCAGAACTCCTTGGAGGAAGGGTGGGATAAAAATGTGCTAAATAAACCAAAGTGCTTGAAGAAGTTTTTCAGGTATATGTTTCAAATTCTGCAATAGTTTTAAAAACTTTTACTAAAGGATTCTATTTGTTAGTCCCACAGCTGTTCTCAGAAGTTATCTCCTTTGTCTTAATCATGCCCAACATCCAGCTGTCTAAATTCTGCTTGCTCTTATACCGGATTTGACCCTCCATTTAGAAATCACAAGGGGTCATATCATTTTTATTTCCATTCAGGTGGACCGCTACACGCTGAAAAATGGCCGCCACGTCATACTTCTCGCAGAAGGCAGGCTGGTGAACTTGGGGTGTGCCATGGGTCATCCGAGCTTTGTCATGAGCAACTCATTTACCAACCAAGTGCTGGCACAGATAGAGCTTTGGACAAATCCTGGCAAATATGCAGTAGGAGTCCATATCCTGCCAAAGAAGGTGAGTTGCACTAAGGGATGGGAGAGCAAGTGTGGTGGTGTAGTGGTTGCAATGTTGGACTAGGATCTGGGGGACCCAGGTTCAAATCCCCACTCTGCCATAGAAATGTGCTTGGGTGATTTGGACCCCTCACACATTCTCAGCCTACCTCACCTCACAGGGTGGTTGTGAGGATGAAATGGAGGAGTGAACAGTGTAAGCCATTTTGGGTCCTTATGGGGGAGAAAGGCAGGGTGTAAAATTATCTTTTCCCCCTGATGTTACTTTTAGCACCAGTAGGTACCTGTGTTGTGCCTTTTTTAAATGCAGTACTGCATAGTATCTCAGAGAATAACATTTCTAATCGGGAAATAGTGTGGTAAGAGGAAATAGTGCTCTTTCTCCCATTTCGCAGTGCTACAGTGTAGATTCTTATGTGCTCCCCCCACCTACTTTTTCTTATGTGCTCCCCCCACCTACTTTTTCAGGCTAAATGGCACATGGTGGTATCCAATCATTGCTCCCCTAGCATAGTGCGTAATTTGATCCTAAGAAAGTTTTGGCTTGCCTGGAAAGGCTGGATATGCCACACATCTGTGTAGCTACCCTCATGCATAGAGTACACATAGAAAAAGAGAATTATTGGACAAATCTTGTACCTAGTACATGGTTGCAAACTAGCCCATGGTCCAGCTAATGCTTGAGTGGATGTGGACCGATGGATGGATGAATTGTGACCTCTCTAGCCTTCAAGTCGCTTGCAAGTTTTATTTTTTGCTTTAGAGTTACTATGCTTTCTTGAGACTCAGAATACTTCCATGGTTCATATTTCCCCGAAAAATATGTTTCCAGGAGCATTTTTCTTGCATAGTCCAATGAAAGGGGGGGAGTGGTGTGGCTCCAGTGTGCCCCTTCCTTCAGCAATCTTTCTGGGGCCTCACTGAGAATAGCCCCCCAGCACAAGGACCTAAGAGGGATTGTACCAGTCCTTGAACATCTAAGCAAAGCCAGTCACAATCTGGTCCTAATTGTCCAGGTGTCTACTGTGTATCTGCAAAATCTCTAAACCTGACTTATTTTTGCCATTTATTTCCCTTGAGATTTTCCTTAATTATGAGAATTAAAATTGAATTCTTTGTTCTGGAAATGGAGAGTAAGAAGAGAAATGTCTCTCTCTTTTTTTTTTAAAGTCATCTGGTCTCAATTTCTCCAAACCAGCCAATGAATCTAACAAGATAGTAATTGTTTGATGCTCAGGCTGAACTTCATTGTTCTTTGAAAGTTGGCCAGGTTCAGAAATGATAGGAAAAAGTTTTTCCTCTGATCAGTAAGATATATTACAGGTACTCGCTTGGACCATCTTTTGTTTAATTTTTTTAAAAAGGGCCTGAAGCATTTTTGGTCCATGGCAGGAATTCATAAAGAGTTGGTGCAACATCCCCTGGTCTGTGTGCATAGCTTGAGCGGAGTTGATGGCAGCCATTCACTGGTGTGTGTGTGTGTGGTTGAGGCACAGGTCTCTTTCCACAGTGTGTGATACAGGAGCTGAGTTTTCAGACTGCTTTTTGTTCACTTTTACCATGAAGCAGTGGGAAGATGTAGCACCTTTGCTGCATTCATCTGCTGAACACTTCCACTTATCTTCCCCTTCCGAGACTTCTCTTAGGTATTACTTATGTGCAGGGCTTTTTTTGTAGAAAAAGCCCAGCAGGAACTCATTAGCATATTAGGCCATACCCTTGACAGCACAGCTCATTAGCATATTAGGCCACACCCCCATGTTACCAGAAGTGTGGTCATCTAGCCACATCCACCTTTTGCTTCTTATTCTGTTTACCTTGTTGTTAAAACCCAGGGCTTTTTTTGTAGCAGGAACTCCTTTGCATGTTAGGCCACACACCCCTAATGTAGCCAATTCTAATGAGTTTCTGCTGTTGGGTGTGGCCTATTATGCTAATGAGTTCCTGTTGGGTGTGGCCAACTCAGGAGCCAGCCGGAACTCCATTCCTGTGCGTTCCTGCTCAAAAATAGCCCTTATGTGGATGACTTTTTAGAATGATGGGCTTTTAAGAATTTTAGAAGAACTGTTAAGAGTTAGTATTTAAAATTCACCTCTTTTTTAAAAAAAGCAAGCCAATATTTTCAGGACACTGAACTTTGCATCAAATAATGTTTTATGAGTTTTTGCAGGGCTGGTGCAGAATGCACATAGCCCAGGTTCATAGATTGCAGCGCTACAAACCAGTGTTGTTGTATCTTTGGCTTAATTGTTAATATATGAAAATATAATCAGTTTTTAGTTGGTTACACCACATGGGTCTAGTAAACTTTGATTTCTTTATCAGGTAATGGTCCTAATTTTTCTTCCCCCATTCTTTCTTTCAGTTGGATGAAGCTGTAGCTGCTGCTCATCTGGATAAACTATGTGTGAAACTGACGAAGTTGAGCGATAAGCAGGCCAAGTACCTGGGCCTGTCAAAGGATGGTCCTTTCAAACCAGAGCATTACAGATACTGAGCAGCTAGTGGGGCCCAAAGATCTCAGGATGCAGAGATAGAAATCCAAAGCGCTTTTGCTTCCCTGTTGGGATTCAGAGAACAGCTCCTCCCCTTGTCATGTGTAGACACACTTCATGCCATTTCTCTTTGGCAAAGGTTTATCTCTCATTCCTGTGGGAGGCAGGGATTGTGTATTCCTGTAGGCCTCAACATTGGTTTTTCTCATGGTGCCAGGTGAACCGCATCTCAACTGGAATCATCCTATAGTAGATTTAACATAAGAATCACTTCTGTTGGATCATGGTTTTTACCTAATTGTAGACATTGCAGTCTAGTTTTTGTTGTAAAATGGTTCCATTTTTGGTTGCACACCCTTGTAAGAAAATCGGTAGAAGAATCTGAAATGATAATCTCTAGAAGAGCTTCCAAAAGCCAGGGGACAGGTTGGGGTGGGGGACTGCTTAGTTCTCTGAACATACCAGTGGGGAATGTCTGTTTTTGCCTAGCTTTTGTATCTTGTGCCTGTCCTGGTGTCATAAACAGAGTTTGTTAAAAATCTGCCCTGGTAACCTTGTCTTTATTATGCGAGACATCTTGGGAAGAAGGGTGCTGTTATAACATGTCTTTATTGTCATACAACTATTCAAGGACTCGTAGGCAATGGTCAGACAAGCAGTTTGATCCAATGTTGTTGCTGTTCCCATCTGGATTTAAAGTGCACAATCAAACAGTAACATCTGCCTCTGGTTCCCCAGTCGTTGGCACCCTGTTCTTGACCCATCTTCAAATTGGAGTTATTTGACACCGGGGAAAGTCCAGTCTTTACGGATGTCAGTGCTTTCACCCCACATTTCTGGATATTTGAACTCCCCTGTTGTGAAATCAAGCCATTTGGGAAGTCAGACCATGCCCTTCCATCTGTGTGCATTTTAAAACTTCAGTCAGCGATGTGTGCATAAGTGGATCTTTGCCCCAGGGGTTTTAATCACTGGTTGTGCATTTAGCTGTTTGAGCATCCCATACAAGAGTAAATGTACTGAAGTCAATGGGGCTACTCTAATGTAACTCTGCATGATGCTTACACTCCCCCCCCCAATGTATTCCAAGGAAAAGAGGCAAAGTGAAGGAAAGTTGAGAGGCATGGCAGTACTTGTCAGAGGGATTGCGGAGCTGTCAAAATAGAGTAGTGATTCGAATGAGAGCTTCTGCGCATGTGCGAAAGACAATATTTAAAAAATGATGCTGTCTGACCACTCACTCTGTGGTTACTGTGCAGCAATAATCTGAATGGTCAACCATGGAGTGAGCGCATGGTGAGGCAGGTTAAGGGTGACATGTTTGGACAAACCTCTCCAGAACAAATAACGCCAGATAAAATAGGGGCACGGCCAGACCACACCAAGCCTGTCGTCTGACTGTAGCCTTAGCAAGTGGATATGTTCTGATTATGTTTAATACTCATTCTGTGAATATATAGTTTCCTTTGACGCTAGTTGTTCTGTTGCCTCATATTGTACCCTGTGGCTATGAATCCTAAAACATGACCTTATGGGGATAACTCAAAATCTTACAGTAAATAGCTCAAGCCAGGTGTTGGCTAATTTTGCGGAGAATGGGTGTTTTCTTCTCATGTGAGAGAGTGCTGACCCCCACAAAATATGGATTTGAACAAAAACCTACGCATGAATTTTAACTGATATGTTCCTAGTAACATGTCAGCACATTGTACAGTAACCTTGCTAAAGTTAAGGAAGAAGGAAAGAGAGATTAAAATATAAAATAGAACCAAAGGTTGTGAATGCCCAGGATCTGAATGCAGACTATTGTGCTTCATACTCAAATTCTCTCTCGCAGCTTTAGCACCTTTCCAATATAGGTGCAAAATTCCTTGTATGCATCTATCCCCTGGTTCTCAGGTGTCCACACATATGGCAAGAACCTTTGTGTGATTCAGCCATGCATTCATACAAGGGATTCCCGTGATGTCTACTGTCATGGCAGCCAAGTCCTACAAAGATTATGGGGAATCCTTGCTGCAAATTCCCATAGAAAGTTAATTCTGGTCAGTGATAAGAAAGTTAATTCTGGTCAGTGTTAAGATAATTCTTGTTGCCATAGGAATCTGTAAGCCCAAATAAGGGAGCTGAAAGAACCTGGCAGTGTCCTGCATGTGTGCCCGTTCTTTGTGATCTTTGGGCAGGCACTTGCACAGAGCAATGTTCTAGAGCCAAAGCTTAGAAATTCTGCCCCTCCGTTGAAGGAAGTAGTGCCCGCTTTTGAACTCCTGCTGCTGTCAAACATGATTGTTATCAGAAGTACAGAAGGTTGAGTCTTGGTCCCCCTTGCTGAAAGTTTACAAAGCAAGCATATACAGGCACTGCTGCTTCTGCCTGCAGCTTTCCCTTCGGAGCATATTCTGCAGGCCTCTTGTCTGATTCTAGTACTTCACATAAAATATTTAGTCTCTGTCACTCATGGTGAGGCTTCTCCCCAAACAGTGCCAGCAGCAGCTACAAATGATTCTAAAGACTGAAACTACCAGGAGTCTATACTTCAAGTGTTCATCAGCGCAGTCGCATAATCCACCCTCCTGTTTTTGGCAGGTGTCTTTCTTGTATTAGATGTTTTTCCAGCAGCCAGGAAGAGAATGAGTGGGCTAACACACCTTGTCCTGCAAAGCATGCACAAAAGGGAAATCTCTTTCTTTTAAGAGGCAGGGTTAGGTCTTTGGCTCCAGGAATTTTCTGCATTGGCTCAGTCTTGTATATGTGTTTATACAGATGATTATTTGAAGAACATAACTACTCGTAAGCAACAACTTATTAGACAAGATGCTGGTAATTCTGGAGATCCCAAGCATTTTTACTTTCTAGTGCCCACGTGATTTTTTTGTTGTTGTTCAGTCACACAGTCGAGTCCGACTCTTCGCGACCCCATGGACCAGATCACGCCAGGTCCTCCTGTCTTCTGCCGTCCTCTGAAGTTTGCTCAATTTCATGTTCGTTGCATCGGTGACACTGTCTAACCATCTCATCCTTTGCCATCCCTGTCTTCTTTGACCTATCTTTCCCAGCATCAGGGTCTTCTCCAGTGAGTGCTCCCTTCTCATTTGGTGGCCAAATGAGCTTCAGCTTCGGTATCTGGCCTTCCAGGGAACAGTCAGGGTTGATTTCTTTTAGGATTGACTGATTTGATCTCCTTGCAGTCCAAGGGACTCTCAAGAGTCTTCTCCAGCACCATAGTTCAAAAGAATCTATTCTTCGGTGCTCGGCCTTCCTTATAGTCCACGTGATGGGAAGGGTCAAATGGCCCTCTTTGCATCCTTTCCTGGCCCCAAATGCACAGGTGGGGTTGATATTTTCACTATGGATGCAAACATACAGGCAATGTATGTTGTCTTTATGGTCTGCCCCCCCAGTAGGCAAGAGCTCCTTGTGGCTATCTTGGGAACTTTAGGAAACTGATGCAAGGGGAAGGGTTAAAAACCTGTTCCTCTGCACTTTGATCCTGATAGTTATTTGACCCCTGTGCAGTTATTCAGTTACTATGGGGGGGGGAAACTTGAGAGCTCTGCCTTAAGTGTTCTGTTGCATTAAGCATTCAAACAGACAGTAGACAAAAACATATGCCGTTAGAGACATGTTGCAACATCCCTTTGATGAAAACGGAATCTGGATTTGATCTTAAAGCCTTGCTTGGTTTTCATACCTGGAGTTAAATTTTATGCCAATTAAGATTCAGTGTTGCTCTATTTTATGGGTAGAAAAATAGACTTATACCTGCATTGTATTGATTCTCTGCATTACTGTACATCACTGGCCGCTGAAGGAATGCACAGACTCAAGTGATACAAAGTAAAAGGAAAAAGTTCTACTGGAGGAAATGTCTGTGATGGCCCACTTGCGCATGGAGTTTGTCACACTGTCACTCACTGGGTAAGAAACGAGCATGTATAAACTAGACCATAGACATTTTACATTCCTCATCAATCTGTGCAGTCCCACATGGGACTGCACATGAGCAGGCCTAAAATTGGAGAGGTTTTTATAGCTAAAAGCCTTCAGGGTGTGCTGTGCACCAGAGCCAGAAACTTGTTCCTGCCCAGGGTCCACGTGCTTCTGCGCAGCACTGCCCCCATCCTCAGTTCTGCTTTTGTGGCCAAAGGATAAGGGTGTCAATGCTTAAAGCAGCATTGTGGGAGAAAGCCCTTAAAGCCTCATGGCCTTCAAGTCAGCCCTCGAAAGTCCCAGAGGGACTTTGTGAAGAGAGAAAACACAAAGGCTGCAAGATTCTGTTCTCGAGCAGGGAGGGGCATAGGTTGGTTCCCCAGGGAATGTGTTTCAGATTCGTAGGGAGAATGTTCTTTTCTATGCATTCCCCGTGTTTCTGCTCCTTATCAGGGTGACAGAGAAGGCCGGGAGACAAAGATCGAATATGATTTTGGTGGGTCCATTTTGGCCTCACCAAATCGTTCCTGATCCTTATAGAGATTTCCTGGGGAGAGTACCTCCCCTTGCCCAAACAGACTTAATCAGTAATGACCAAGTGTTTCAGCACAATCTAAATCATCTCAACCTGCTGGCTTGGGGGCTTGGGACAGAGACTTAATATTCTCCCAGGAAGTTAATGATGTACTCCTGAATTCATGTAAAAGATGGCAGTCAGGTGGACCTGTAAAGAAGAAAAGGCCAAACCTTTATTTTGCAGGCGCAATAAATATTAAACTATGACTTGCAACGGAGCAGTACCCGGAGATATTTCCCTATCACCAAAGACTTAATATTCTCCCAGGAAGTTAATGATGTACTCCTGAATTCACGTAAACCCAATACTATAAAGTCCTATTTATATAAATGGAGGCCGTTTTCTCTCTGGTGTGGTGATAGAGATTTTTTAAGGGATGATGTGATCTTTGCCCACCTCAGGACCCATTGGTTCCCCAGTGGTCCCTTTCACTTTTTTTTAACACAATTGATGCATAAGCCCTTTGAACCTCTTGCAACATGTTCCTTGGCTGAACTCTCTACAAAAGTCTGTTTTTAGTGGCTGCCACATCAACCAGGAGAGTAAATGAGTTAGCAGCTCTTCAGGTGGAACCCCCATTTTTGAAGATTTTCCCTGATGGGGTAAATCCTTTGAACCCAGTCTTAGGTTTCTCCCTAAAGTAGTCTACAGATTCCACTTATCCCAGGCTATTATTTGGCCTGTATTCTTCCCTTCACCCAGCTCTGAAAATGAGTGATTGTTATACTCCTTAGATGTTAGAAGGGCTTTATTATTTTACCTTAAAACAACCTTGGAATTCCACAGAGGTAGAGCACTGTTTATATGTTTTGCTGAGCCTAATGAAGGGAAGAGGGTTTCCCCTCAAACGTGGTCTTGGTGGATTGTCTCTACCATTAGAGAATGCTATGGTTTAGCTAGGTTGCTGTGCCCTCTGAACATTCATGCCCACTATACCGGAGCTATAGCTTCTTCTGCAGTCTTCTTCAATGGAGTGCCATTGACGGAGATATGCTGGGCTGCT